AAGTAAGTAAGTAAGTAAGTAAGTAAGTAAGTAAGTAAGTAAGTAAGTAAGTAAGTAAGTAAGTAAGTAAGTAAGTAAGTAAGTAAGTAAGTAAGTAAGTAAGTAAGTAAGTAAGTAAGTAAGTAAGTAAGTAAGAGACTTTATTTGTAGAGTCTGTAGAGGATGACACTTGACAGTACAAATACTGATGATTCCGTGGTCCTCTGGAAACCTATGTGCCTAACCCACCCATGTCAACTTTCCCTGTGGGAGGAAACACGGAGTACCCGGAGAAAACCCACGACTTTCGGCAGAGCGTCGACTTTTACTCTTTTCACATGGGTTCGAGTCACATTGAGAAGTTCTCACTGAGATTTGAACCTGCGGCCTTAGAGGTGAAAGGCAAGTGCGCTAACCACTTCGCCACCGAATGCTATGACCCACACAGACGAACAAAATTTGTACGTTGCCAATTCTTACTATGCATAACATGTGCACTTGTTCAAAAACATAGCATGCTAGCTGTTAAACAAGTGTCACAGTAAAAATTGTCAAAATTGTCAGTACAGACGAGCAAATGAAACTTTTTCAAATGAAAACTTGCTCGTCTGTAACCAGCTTATGTCAAGTAAAATTTGAAAAAAAAAATTCATTTCATTTTTTTCTCGACAAATTGCCAAAAATATAAATCCAGTGCGAAAGCGAAAAAAAGGATTTCGGTCAAAAAATCGGAATTTCGGTCAAAAAATCGGAATACTTCATGTAAGCCAGTAATATATTGGATCAAAAATTCAAGATAGCGGATGTGTTTTAGGCCAGTTTCGTGAATATCTTAAAAATACATATATTCTTGCCTCTAAATTTACATGCAATCCACCAATCATTTGAGGAAGAGACCATAATTTGTAGAAGAGCAATAATTCGACAAAAACCGCGCCAAAATGCAACTAACGTCGCACGGGGTCTTAGTTGAAGAATTCGTCAGGGGGAGGAGCATCTACAGAAAGGAACCCTACTCTACTGACTGACTGAGAAATGGCAGATGGTTGTTGGTGACAAAAGGATGTGGTATCGCATGTAATGGTTGGGGGAGGGGTGTCTGAGGGCTTTCTCCCCCACGAAAGTTTCGTATTTCCCCCTAGGACTGCATTTCATGCGTTTTCTGAAACAGATTTTTGGATATATAGCGTTACATTATGCTGTAGATCAGGAGTGAATCTTCAGTTAAGTATTTGCATGGTATGTTTGTGCGAATACCGCAACTCGGTCACTAACTTAATTGTTTAGCCTAGCCTTCCAACAAATCAAATCTATAGGGTCTGGGATTATCCACTTGGGAAGTTTTTCCCGATAATGATAATGATAATGAAATTACATTTGTATAGCGCATTTTTCATGTGGATATGTTCAAGTGCGCTTCTTACAGTAATAAATAGTATACAAATTATAAATATTAGATAAAAATATATTACAATAATGTTAAGAATTTATAAAAGTATCACAGCGATAAGTAGAAGTAAAAATGGAACATGCACAAGCATTAATTAAAAGCTTCTAAGAATAGAAATGTCTTTAGTAACTTTTTAAATGTAGCTGTTGAGGATGCAATCCTGATAGCTTTGGGAAGAGCGTTCCACAAAGTTGGGGCAGCGAGAGAAAATGATCGATCACCCAAGTTCTTAAGAGTTTTAAGTCTGGGGCGTTCTAGTAGACACGGATCAGAGTGGGATCTAAGGTTGTAACTGGTGGGTTTTTTAATTGAGAGGAGCTCTTTAATGTACGTCGGAGCTTGATTGTTTAGGGCCTTGTATGTAATAAGAAGGATTTTAAAGTCGATGCGGGACTTAATCGGGAGCCAATGAAGATCATATAAGACAGGAGTGATATGATCGAACCGAGGAGTATTGCAGATAAGCCGGGCTGCCGCGTTTTGAACAGCTTGTAATTTCCTCAATTGGGTTGAAGGAAGGCCATAAAAAGACTGTTACAGTAGTCCAGGCGGCTTATAACGAAAGCCTGCACAAGAATCTGAGTTGTATGTTGATCGAGGAACTTCCTAATACGTCTAATGTTATAAAGGTGAAAGAAGGCAGCTTTGCAGCATTTAGTAACATGGGTGTCCATTTTCATCTGCGAGTCAAACCAGCAGCTGAGGTTCTTGGCGTTCTCAACACAAGTAACAACATTGCTGCCAACACGAATATTGTTGAAGTCGATTTTTTCGAGTTGTTGCCAAGTGCCGATTAGAATTACTTCAGTGTTTCCCTCGTTGAGTTTCAGTCTATTAGCAAGCATCCATCGTTTGATGTCATCAATGCACATCTCAACAGTTCGGACTGCAGTTTCTTGGTCGATACGAGAATCTGCGAGAAACGAGATATAAAGCTGGGTGTCGTCGGCATAAGCATGTGCATCTGGTAGGTGACGCTCTATTAACTCAAGTAGTTCGCTTACATAAAGAACGAACAGAAGCGGACCTAGACATGATCCCTGAGGAACACCACAATCAACATTGAATTTCTCGGAAGACACACCGCCAACTGTAACTCTTTGTGTTCGCTGAGAAAGGTAAGATGTAAACCATTTAAGAACAGTTCCAGATAGACCGAATTTCAATTGCAGGCGCTGAAGTAGGAGAACATGATCGACGGTATCAAACGCAGCACTGAGGTCGAGCAGTACAAGTAAAGTGACGTGTTGCCTATTCATGTTCATAAGTATATCGTTCTTAACACGCAGTAGTGCTGTCTCGGTGCTATGGTACAGGGTACAAATGATGAACTGATAGATGATTATGGGATTGATTGCAAACTGTCCTTTCGACTAGTTTTGAAACGTATGGGAGGTTGGAGATAGGTCGTAGATTTCAAATATTACTTCCAAGCCTTGTTTCTTGAGTCTTGGCTGGACATCAGCCTCTTCCCAGACACATGGGAAAATGCCAGACTCTAGTGAAAGGTTAATCATTTTGGTAATAACAGGCGGAAGAACATCCAGGCATTCGACGACAAATTTAGTTGGGATAGGATCCAAGGAACTAGATTTCTTGTTTGACGAGGTTATTAGCCGTTCAGTATCATCATCGCTCATAGGAGAAAATTCTTGATAAATCTGGTCACTGTTCAGTGAGACCGACGGCATGTCAGAAAAAAACTGCTTGTTCATAGGTTGATGCTGTATCAAGTTCAGAGCGAATATTGATAATCTTTTGAGCAAAGAATTGTCCTAAATCATTAGAGAGAGCATTGCTGTCGTTATAGTGGGGAAAGGCAAGATCAGAATCATGTCTAAAAAGACCTTTAGTTGCACGAAATAGTTTCCTCTGATCTTGACTGTTCTCTGAGATAAACTGTCTATAGAAATTTTGCCGCGCTTGGTTCATAAGAAACGTTGTATGATTTTTCGCAGTTTTAAAAGCAAGGAAATCAGTCGGAAGTTTAGTACGTCTCCATTTCCTTTCTGCTTTCCTTCTCAAACGCTTTGCACATTTAATCTCATCATTGTACCATGGGACAGCAGGCCTGGTGGTAATAGTCTTGGAGATCAGTGGCGCTTGATGATTTAGAGCAGTCATCAAGGTATTATTATAGCATGAAACCAGGTCTGTAAGCTTGGATGGTGGGTTTTTACAGAGGTCGGAAGAGGATATTTCTTCTTTTAAAGCCTCGATATTGACATATTTAAGTTTACGAAAAGAAATATGTTTCTGTGTTAGTGGAACTGCGTTAGATTCAAGGTTACAAAGAACAGCGTTATGGTCAGAAAACAAATGGTCAACCCTCGGAATGCTGGTGATGATATTATCAGTCTGCTTGGTGATTATTAAATCAAGGGTATGGCCAGAGCAGTGAGTGGCGCCTCTGGCATGCTGTTTAAGTCCGGTACTTTCAAGGAGATCAAGGAATTTAATGGAATCTAAGTTGTCCGTACAGTCGATGTGGATGTTGAAATCACCCGTTATTAGGAGAGGTATTAGCCTAATACAAATACAATATCATTAAGTTCGATTCAGCGTAAGAAATTGTACTTACGGATGTCAAATGTATTTAATACTACACAAAAGCATTAACTAGCGATTTATGGCCATTGAAAATCAAGCGAAATTTTATTGTTGATAAATCGCCAGCTCGCAGTACGTACGTATTGTTGACAAATCACAGTAATCACTCCGGCAGTACGGCCAGTACGTTTGTCCTTGTATTTGTATTTGTAATGCCTAATGGCGCAATAAGGATAAAAATAGCACCGTTCGATTCAGCGTGAGAAATTGTACTTATGAATGTCAAATGTATTACTAAACAACAGCATTCTAGCGATTTATGGCCTTTGAAAATCAAGCGGCGAAATTGTATTGTTGACAAATCGCTCGCAGTATGGGTATTGCTGAATGCTGACAGACAAATCACTCGCAGTACAGTATACGTTTGTCCTTGTATAAATACAAGTGGTACTTGTAATTGCCTAATTGGTAATGGCGCAATAAAGATAAAAATACCACGGTTCGATTCAGCGTAACAAAGTGTACTTACGGATGTCAAATGTAATACTAAACAACGGTATTCTAGCGATGTATGGCTTTTGTCTTTTAAAGCCAAGCGAAATTGTTGACAAATCGCTCAAAATTATTCAACTAATTATAAAAAATACAGCACGTTTCACGTTTGATCCTTGATAACTTTGGTATCGTTGGTTTTCTCTTTTTCGGCCGTATACCAGTGGATTCGTCTCACTTCTCTCTTCATTTTGAGAGTATTTTTATGTTGAACGTTTTAAAGCGCAATTTAATCCTAGCGTACGGACAAACTGGCGGCCGACAGAAGAATGTAGCGTACTAAATATACAGTAATTTTACTTGTAGGCGGAAACTCCAACTTACGAGCAAATGTGGCGACAAAATTTAGTTTAGCCCCAGCGAGTTAACGCTCTACAGAGCGTCTTGTTCATTTTATTTCGGATATCGAAGTCCGATCCGATCCGACTACGAAACAACTTTATCAATCCGATCCGATATGAATATTTTGGTTCCGAAATCCGAACGAATCCGATCGGATTCGGATCGGATTTGCACACCTCTAATAAGCACGTCTCTCGGAGAATAAAGGCCTGACAGGCTCAACCTTAGGCTTTTCGTGCTCCCAAGTCCCAACTTTCCGCGTGAGTCCACAACTCCAATGGAACAGGATGGAGCACGGAAAAAATTAAACCATTTTTTACATAGCCAGCCGCAGCAATCTTTTGTCAGTTTAGTATCAGATCATAATACTTTAGTATATATCAAATCATAATTTTAATTTCAAATCCATCACCACAGCTAGAAAGAGCATGTAATACAAATCTATACAAAACTTGCGAACTTTACAGGGCTATATTTTCCTCATTTTACAACTTTTCGCAACCAAACTTTGCAATCTTACTAATTGTAACATGCTCTTTCTAGCTGTCTCTTCTTGCCTAGATAAAAATTTAGTCTGTAGCTGGAATTGCCTATTATCTGTTCAGGACAGCAATTAGACTTTCAGACTTGTGTGCTACTTTTGCACCAAAAAGCAGTAGTGGATTTGTATGGGATAAACAGGGGTGGGATAAACAGGGGTGGGCGCCCTCCGCCAATAGGGATGCAAGGGTGAGAAAAATTAAATCTATTGTACTTTTGAGCATTTGAGGTACTGTATTGTAATTTGTATTATAAATATATCGCCATTATTTTATCCTTGTACCTTAAGTGTCTGCATTTCAAGCATAAACAACGAAATACACTACGGCCCAGTGTCCTAACCAGGGTGTTAGCCAGGCGGCCGTCCGACCGTCCTATGGACGGCCACTTCTGAATTTGGACGGCTAAATTTTAATGGAGGGACATGGACGGTCTAAGGGAATATGTTCTTTAAATAGCAATTTACAAGCTTTGTAATATCTCTTGAATACTTCGAATTGTTGTCATCTGCTGTTTACCTTACTTATGGTATATGTTTTCATACTTTTCCCCTCGAAAACACATTGAATATGCCTGAATTGAAGTACCGACAAACGCGCCATGTTTTTGTAACCATGTTGATGATTCTCGCATGAAGTATGAAGGAGAATAATTTGAAACCGCCGTTTTAAAAAACAGCAATCGCTTTATCACTCGAGCGCCACACTGCTTTACAGTTACAGTTACGGTAAATATGGCTATAAAATGAGCCAAACGCATAAAAAAAGGGAAAACATCGGCGATTGATAAAAAATAACTAAACACTACACTGCTGTATTGTGTTCTTCATTATAGCATATACTGTAGCCTACATCGTAGTGATCATACGGACGGTTCATACCATACGTGTGCTTTTACTAATTTAATAACTGAAATGTGCATCTAAAACTAAAAGTAAAAAGCTTCAACGAATAGAACACCACAATTCCACAACAACAAAAAATTGCGGTCACGCCCAAAAACATGTGACCACGCCCACAAAATTATTTTGGACGGCCACTTTTGAAATCCTGGCTAACACCCTGGTCCTAACCTGTTTACCTATAGCATCCCACCTAAAGCAGCAACCTGGGTGAATCCACCACTGCCGACGAGATATTATTACGGCATGGTAAAGACGGAGTGCTGAGTACGGAGTTGGCGTACGGAGTCTGTCAAAATTGTTTACCAGTTTGTTAAAGATTCAATTTTAACGAGACTTACAGTCAAACCGGATGTTCGTTTCCGCGGAATATTGCAACATTGTTGGGAATATTGCAGTTTTGATTGCGAGATTGTTCTGAGCAAGTTGCAACCGACGTGATCAAATTGCAAGTAGAAATTCACAACCAGATTTGTAAACAAAGTCTCTGATTGGCTACTAGTAGCAAAGGACCAATCAAATACTCCCAGCAAATGCATTGGTTCTTCTTTGCTACTAGTAGCCAATTAGAGACTTTGTTTACAAATCTGGTTGTGAATTTCACCTTGCAATTTGATCACGTTGGTTGCAACTTGCTCAGAACAATCTCGCAATCAAAATTGCAATATTCCCAACAAGTTGCAATATTCCGCGGAAACGAACATCCGGTTTGACTGTAAAGGGGGCATAAAGTGGAAAACGCGGAGTGTGTCAAGAAACTATTTATTTTGCCAAAAGATTCGATTTTAACCCAGACTCAGCGTTTTCCATTTTATGGGGGCATAAAGTCATAAAATTATTTATTTTACCTAATGATTCGATTTTAATTAACGAGACGTGGAAAACGCGGAGACTCGTTAAAATCGAATCTTTAGGCGAAATAAACAAATTTTTGACAGACTCCGCGTTTTCCACTTTACGGACCGGTCATTATTTATGGCGGGGGTGGCACCGAAGAGAAATGTTTTTCGTGGCAAACATTTTGCTGACCCAACCATTAAAAAGTAAAAAAAATGATTACCCAACCTCAAATATCAATTAAAAAATAAATACCCACCCCTGGCCAAAAACTTTACAAAAGGATAGCATTCAGTTGTCACATATGTCCTTTACCACTTCTGTGACATGAGTTGGATAACGGATTGTGAAATTTTCTGCGGTCTAAAGTTTCATGTTGTCTGCACATGTACTTTCTTTGGAAATACTATTTTGTCTCGCAAAAAATCGGAAAATGATCAAGATAGTGACTCTGACTGATTTACATATTGTATTGACATATGACGGCCTACTCTGGGGGTGGTCTCGCCTAAAACGAGGGTCAAAATTGACCAAAGTTCTCTTAAACCGCCTAAAATCACCCAAACTCATATTTAATAAATCGCCAACAGGAAAACACTCAAATATCCCACTAAATGGCTAAAACTCACAACAATGTATATATACTTTTCGTTGTTTCTTTACACATTTAGTAAATCTTTAATAGTATAACACCAAGTTCATTAATTGCTGCTATTTTGCTAGCAAATCCATGTACACCTGTATTTTGCAATCAAAAGTGATGCAACCTGGAAAGTGGAATAAGTTGACCGCTGGTATATTCTTGGCTTCAATTTTACTAAAAGAGATGCGCTATCTAGTTTATATAAGATATCTTATCTATGACCACAACGGTCTAATCTGATATATCACCAATTAAACATAATTTAGAAGTCGAACAAAAAAACAGTATATATACATTAATAAATAATAGTCAATTTAGACATGTGAAGTGAGTGAGCGTTATGAATCACTACTTATCATCAGGAATTTTCGTTTCAGCTCATGGGCTCTCTCCTCCGCAGAGGCTTTAATTTTCTTAGGATTTAATATTACGATGAGATACATTTCACTACACTTTACATGGCGGATCTTGGAACACGAGCGTAGCCGCTGGGCGAAGGAGCGCAGGCGGCAAAGGAAAAAGGCGAGGATAAACGCAAAGTGGGATAAAGTGTAAACATCGAAACAAAAGGTGATTTTTAAGCTAAATAACATACGCCTTTTTGAAAATAAACTCATAATTTAATGCATGATTGATTGACCTCATTGACTAGTGCTTGCATCTTTGTGGATGGTCAAAAGTAATAAGATTTTTAACATTACACAAAGCAAAACAATCGTATATTTTACTCACCGCTTGGCCAAACATTCTGTGTTTCGTATCGAGAAAAACTTGAATATCTCTTGAACTCTTCAGAATTCGCTGTACTGGGATTGCCAGTAAATGTGGCCAAAAACAGGTTTCAACTCACTTTTAATTATCAAAATATATGGAAAATTACAAAATAGTACAAAAACGCTGTTTTCCTTCGCACGCCATATTTGCTCTCATGCGCATGCTCTAACTAAACGTAAATAAACATCGTCCAAGAGGCGATCGCAGAGAGATTATTGCTACAACCCAATACACCTGAAGGACTGGGGTCGATGCGTTCGCGTCTTAAAATCTGAATGTAAATTTCTCTAATGCATTGTTCACTCAATACTATATAATGTCACTGTCCGTTCATACACTCTCTTTTGCTTCCGACTTGGTTTCCTGATCTTGATCCATATCCACTGGTACTAATAACGATAATCGCTGAGCACTTCGTGACACAATGACAGCCTCGTTATGTCCTTTGTATTTCTGTACCTTTTCTCCAATTTGAAAATTCTTGTACATGACATTTACTCGCCAAACTTTTCCGTCTTGACTGGGAAACACTTCTTGTACTATACCTAAACGGTAATCTCCTCGCAAGGTATTACGGTCGGCGATTATTACAACATCTCCTGGGCGCAGGTTACGGTTGGCTGTATTCCACTTGCGACGAATAACCAAGGCTGGGGCGTATAACTCCGTCCATTTCTTCCAGAACTCGTCTGTCACGATCTGGACAACATGATAACGCTTTCCTGGATTATTACCGTTAGGCTGCCATCCACCAGGATTCTTCGCCGTTGCTCTGCCCAGTAACAAACTGTTGGGAGTAAGGATGTTTAATTCGGAATCAACGCTCGGGAGGGTTCCGATAGGTCTTTCACTGAGGAGGATCGTGGCTTCGCTACACACCGTCATGAACTCTTGGACTGAAAGACGTTGGTTATTGATTGCGAAATGAATAGCTCTCTTGGCAATCTTCACCAGGGATTCTACAGCTCCTTGGTACCAAGGACTATCAGCGGGGCCGAAGATCCAGGTCAATCCATTCTCTGTGCCACTTTTATGTAGGGATTGTCGGTCAATGCTCTTCCAGGTTTCCGTGAGTTCTCTTTCCGCACCAATTAGTTGTGATCCGGGATCACTACATATGATTTCGGGCCAACCACGAACACTGACGAATCTGCTGAGGGCCATTAGGAATGATTCGGTATCGTACCCAAACACAGCTTCAATGTGGACTGCTCTCATAACTAGATCTGTGAAGATTACTTCGTACGCTTTACCACTTGTTCTTTTCTGTACTTCTCCACGAACCG